GTGGGTGGGTGTTGCTGTACAGATGGTAAAGTCTCTTGAGGCAAATTTGTGATTTGTGATACTGGGCTATACTAATAAAAATTTAATTTAATTTGCAGGCTGCTTTACAATTAAATCCTTAAGTTGTAATACGGTGCATATTATGTGTTTGGACATTATCCACCTGATAAGATTATATTTCCTTTGTCTCCATGATGCTGTAGTATGGCAGCATATTCACAGATGTTATTTCCTTGTTTTGCCTCCTGTCATCAACAGGCTCTTCACCTCATCAAGGAAATGGACCAGGATGGAGATGGGCAGATCTCAGAGGCTGAAGTTTTGAAAAATCAAGAAACATTCATGAACAGTGAAGTGACAGACTATGGCAGACAGCTACACATATCACACGATGAATTATAACTATATGTTTATTGTAGAGTTTTCTCATTTGTTTCCAAATGGCCTAATGTTGTTTATTTCCTGTGTTTTACATTGACATTAGTCATGGGAGGGCAGACCTTTTCTGTCTGTGATCAATTTGCAATAATAAATGACAAGAACAAAAAAACCCATATCTTGCAACATCAAATGATGCATTAATATTATAAGTCAAGATGTCCACAGTGGTGTTTCATCACTTCGCTGACTCAACAAACTCTGAACACCAGATCCACAAAATAATGTGTGTTGTCGGGCTGTTAAATTGGATTGTATAATATTATAACTAACTGCAACTTGTATAAATCCCTCAAGAACAGGGAGGTTAATCTGCAAATATTTTTTTAAGGACATTTCATAACCAAAATACATAAAACAGTCCTACAATTAGAGAAGGGATTTGTTGAGTTGCTGCTGTGTATCACTGTTACACGTCTTTTCACATTTGTCAAATCTGGGCTGAGCTGATTATCACTTCAGCTTTGGTAACTTCTGACATGTTGAAACTCTTCCTCATTTAAATCAAATGAGCAAGCGAGTGAGTGTTGCTGTTTGAAGGCTGGTTTCCTGAATGTGTCATGATCTGTTTCGCATGCATCAAGCAACAGCCTGTTGTGGTGCTTGGCATTGTAACGTGATTTAAAGTTGAGGGGATTCTTCTACAAGGACTGCTTTACAGAACCACTAAGATGGCATTACAGTTTCAAGATGCCTTTTGGGTGAGTTAGTTTGATGCTACTATTCTCTGAAACACAAGTTGACTATGAGGTTTTACAGAGCTGGGAAGTCGTCGTTGTACTCAGCACGTTCACTGGTGTTTCTGAATTATGTTTCACTTTGATATACATTGAGTAGGGACTGAATTGTTGCTTTGATTTAAAGGTGAACTATTACTTAGTTATCATTAAATAATTTTCTTTAATTTAGTCTTGATAAGCAGAACATAGTTTGTATCTCTGGGTTATACACATTCTCCACTTTTTAATCTAAATCCAGGAGTGTCACACAAACTAAAGAATTCTTTCTCATTGCACCTTTCTTAATAGTGAATGAAAGTCACATGTGTAGAATACATAGTGGGAATAGTGTTATCTTTATCATTATTGACAGTTTCCTTGTAAAACAGGTTAATCATTTGTCCCTTTGAGCCTTTTTCCTGTTACTGCCTTTTCATATCTGTCCAGAGCACCTATTAACATGTGGAACAACGCAGTAAACCAAAACTCAGAATGTACCAATGCAGTACAAATGCTATATCGGAACTGCCTGCAGGTATCAGAAACTGCTTAGTCAGACAGAGCAATTAGCAGAACTTGTACTTGTAGCTACGCGTAACAACATTCATTTGCTTCCCTTTTCCTCTATATTGTAGAGTATAGTATCCTAATGTAGGCAGTAGTCTCAGTAACATTATAAACGCAGGTAAGATATTTCTACCCCAGCAATTTTAATTCTACATAAGTCAAATTTCTGAAAAGTAATACTTTTCTAGGAATTGGATCTTTTAGTATCAAAAGTGGAAAGAAACCAAGTACATTTACTTAAGTACTGTACTTAACTACAATTCTGAGGTATCTGTGCTATACTTGAGTAGTTGCATTTTCTGCTGCTTCATACTTGGACTTCAACACTTTTCAAAGAACAGAATTATACTTTGGTACTCACCACATTTATTTGATAACTTTAGTTACTAGTTACTTTTCAGGATGCCTTGTGGGAAGTTCTCAAGTTGCCCAGCAGTGTATAAAGTACTTCAAATTATAACCATATAGGGTAGTTAAAATTGGTTCCACCTTTACCAGCTGCTACATTAAAAGTGATGTTTACAATAATGCATTAATAATTCTAATCCAAAAATAGGATGTACATTAATGTGAACTGGGCCATTCTGAGTAATAAGTGCTTTTGCTACTTTAAGTGCATCTGGATGCTAATACTTTTACTTAATTAACATTTTGAATGCATGAAAGAATATTTTAATTAATACTGTGGTATTTGTACTTTTACTAAAGTAAACAATCTGAGTACTTCTGCCACAGTTTGGTACTTTTCATACTTGGCTGCTCTCCATTCAGATTCCAGTAACACCCTGTCATGATTTTCATTCCAAGATGACAGTGTCTCTACATGGAGGGCAAAAAATCATGTGTCGGAAAAGGCGACATAATCCTCATTGTTGAGTATCATTTAGATTGTAAGCTGTTGCTTTATTATTTGGGTCTTTAAATACTGAACAATAAAGAAACTAACCTTTTCTTTCCACTGGACATAATCATTACCAACATTTATTTAGACTTGTATCCCAAAGTGCAATATTGTGTGAGATTCCCAGTTGTCCTTATTAACCGAACAGTGTTATGGTTTGGTATTTGTGGTTTTAGGGAGTGGATTACATCAGTAATACTGGGTATGAGACTGTTATTCAGAGACTTAACGATGGGCGACGGACATGCAAAGACATGGAGGAGCTCTTGAAAATGAGGTAGGCTCAGAAACCTTGCGTATTTGATTTGAATTTGATTTGATTTGATTTATTCTTTCAAGCATGTAAAGACAGTTGATATATCAACACACATAATTTTACACATATCCAACAAATGCTAATCCAATATCAATTTGCTTATACCTAGTACATGCTTGAATGGAGTAGGAAGAAGTCAGACTTATCCAGTCCTACCCCATGACATCATCTTACCATCATTGGTTTACAAGCAGTATCTCTACATAAATAATTATCTTCTACACCACACAAGTAATATACTAAAAAAATTATAACAGAGTGTTAACATTCTTACATAATTACATTCTTAAATAATTATCTTCTACACCACACAAGTAATATACTAAAGAATTATTACAAAGTGTTAACATTCATACACCACACCCACAATGTTCCATCTAATTAATCATTAAACCTGTTCTTGCATATATCTTGATTGACACATACCTTTATATTTATGTTTAAACTCATCAATTCTAGTACTATTTTTT